TTTCCAGGATGCCTGCAACAGAGCATGTAACAGCACAGTGACACTGGAAGTGAGCAGAGGGCTTTGTGAGCCAGCAGCAGGAACTTCACTTCAATTATTGTTTGGAGCTAGGCAGAGGATGCTTGGGGCTCCTTGTTGAAGGCTTCTGTCCCTGTGGCATAGAAAACAGAGGCAGGGTAGCAGCCAGTAGGGCAGTGAGGAGGGATAGCTGTAGGATGAGGCACACATGCTTAGATTATAGAACTGTTAGGACTTGAAGACTGGTTTCGTGGGGTGGGGTGAGAGCGAGGAAGGAACAGGAGACTCCTAGGTTTCTGTCTTGGGGGATGGGGTAGCTAATGGGGGCCCTGAAGGGGGGCTGAGTGTTGTTAGCTCAGTTATTTCCTTTGAGCCTAAAGCACTTGCAAGAAATCCAAGTGGAGGTGCCCATAAAGCAAGTAATTATAAAGACTTGATTAGGACATTACTGCTGAGTCCAGGCACGGGCATTTGATGGACTCACTGCAGGACCATGAGCTAGGAGGTTGCAGACAGCAAGAGATGCTGTCCAAAGAAAAGACCAGCCAACTCTTCAGGAAACAGTCAGATGTCCAGAAAACACCCTGTGGGTAAAACTGGCTGTGCTCCTTCGACCTGGGATTCAGCAACCAGAGCATGAAAGTCCTCTAAAATCAGCCAGGCTGAAACCACAAACCAAGGACTTGCATAAACCAACAAATCAGTCTCCCTTGAAAAACTCTGCAGCCTGTCTTTGTAAGCTGCACCTTTGCCATAGGTAGACAGACAGTCTGCACAGGGCTGCTCCCTTTTGCATATTGTGAATAGGTCCTCAATGTTTTAAGTCAGTTTTCCCTGTGGCTTTATTCTGTAGCAGATCTTTATAACTTAACACTTATCATGCCTCACAGTCCCCTGCCCCATTTTTTTTAGCTTTTTAATTTTTTTGGTGCTAAGGACTGAACTCAGGGCTTCCTGCTTGCTAGACAAGCATTCTACCACTGAACTGAATCCCCAGCCCCCAGAGTTCCTTTTCTTAAAAAGAACTTTTTAAGAAGTTAAAAGAACTTTTTTTCTTAAAAAGAACTTTTTTAAGAAGTTGGTCTAGAGCTCAAACAAAACAAAAAGATCTAGGCTAGAAATAATGGATTAAGAGTCACATGGACTGCTGCACAGGACATAAATAGAAAAATGCCACAGGTTGAATGGCTCATAGAGAGTAACAAGCAGCTTAACTGTGAGAATGGTTATGAAAAAATTCTGCTTTAGAAAAAAAAAGAGAAAAACCGTTTAAACAGCTTGATCCCAGGATCTCTAAATCACTTTAGATGGGAAGGCACCCCACCCCCACCCCACTAAATCCCACAGGATTACAGTGTTGTAGAACACATTCTGATAAATAGCAGTTTAGGTGTTTTGCAAGGAGAAATAAGTGTATCAACATTATTTTAAAGTACTTGTATTTTATAACAAAAATAAGACCAATCAGATTGTAGATCGTCTCAGTTATCTCACTGAAGTAGTGTTATGGTTTCTATCTAGATGTCCTCCCAAAACCTCACGTGCTCATAGGTGGGTAGGGCTTTTGGGAGGCGATTGGATCATGGGAGTGTGATACTCAGTGGACTAATCCACCAATGTGTCTATAGCTGCATGTGATGTTGGAAGGTGGAGCCTGGTTGGAGGAGGTAGGTCACGGACCTGGAATGGTGAGTCTCCCTCCTCCTCCCTTGATCTCTCTCTGCTTCCTGCCACCACGCCATGAAGGTGCTCTTCCTCTGCCAGGCCCCTTTGCCATGCCTCCCTGCCTTGCAGCCAGCTGACTATGGACTGAAACCTCTACAAACTGCAAGCCAAAATAAACCTTTCCTCTTTTAAGTTGTAAGTGTTTGGCATTGTGTGTGAGTGATGAGAAAAGAAGAGCAATAGTTCCACTCTCAAATGCCTGATAAACCCAAGTGCTACTCTGCATCTTGCCACAGGAGCTGCCCTTGCAGGTTTAGCATACAGGAGAAACTAGGTCACCTCTACAGCAGCATGCCTTTCCATTGGAAGGTACCACGCACCCTGAGAGCCTGATGAAAGGTATACACTATCTCCCCAGGGGGACAATTACATATTGTCACCTAACCCATAAATCAATGAATTCACAGACCCCAAACCCCAGGTGAGTAATTCCTGCTCTCTAAGCCATTAAAGCAGCTTGAATCCAATTAATGATGGCCAAAATGACAAGACTTTTGGAGCCACAAGTCCTTCACACCTGGAGTGTATGGGGAATTCACCTGACTATGAGTAACTAGAGCCAGCCTCCAGCACCTGCTGTGTTCTAGATTTCAGGTGTGTGTGTCACTGCCTCTGCAACTAGCAGAGGCCTCTGGTCAAGTTCTATTCTTGGCCATATTGTCTGAGGCTGTTAGTGAATCATGATAAGTCTTCTTCTGAAATTCACGCTTTCAATGTTTCTGTTTGAATTCCTCTTTGAAAGGGAAAGAGTAATAGTGAAGACTCTGAAGACAGAATGTGTTTATGGTTGAAAGAACACAAATGAATAGGTGGATGATTAGGAATTTACCCCCAAATCCATCACTCACTATGCAATCCCAGGAAACTCCATTTCTTCAGCTTCCCAATTACAAAATGAGTACAGTAACCCCTACCCTTTCCTGTCCCACAACACTGCTTGCTGAGCCAATAAGTTGATATGCATGAGAACAATTTGGAAACCACAAGGTTACCATAAATACAAAAGAAGGTGGTGATGTTAGCTGACATCTATAGCTATTATGAATACAACTAATGAGGACTTATTCAAAGTGGCTGCTGCTACAGTTTTGTTGTATGTCGTTGCCCTCAATGAGTTGCGCGGGAAGGCAGCTTGCGTCATGGGTAGTATCCAGCAGTGTATCAGATTCAGGACCTTAATGTGTGACTGTGTTTGCTTTCGATTTTATAGTGTTGCTACCAGGTTATTGCAATTTAGTGTGGTGCTACTCCCGAAAGTTGAGTTGTTTCCCACAACTCATGCCACACATCCCAACAACTGTGTAAATCCAAGTGAATCAAATTTTAAAAATATCTTGTAACACCCAAGTAAATGCTTCTTCTGCTGGAGTTTGTTATTCTTTTCAGTTTCTCATTACCTGCATTAAAAGCATAGTCAATGCAGAAGTTAAAGAATAGTTTCTGGCTAGGTTTTTAAAGAAACCACATTTGAAAAAGCATTACCACTGCAATTATCTGCCTGAGGACATAAGGCATAAAAAAGGCGTTTCCCTCTTGACCCCAGTCTCCCTTCCACAAGCTCATGCCTGTCCTCTCAGTCAGCTCCGCAGTTCCCCTTAGAAACCACGTCCACGGCAGGTCTGAGCACCTGTATATCCTGATTGTGGCAGTATCCACAGCCGTTATAGCCTCACTGTCACTAAACCCTAACGGACTCCCAACAGAAGGAAGTGGCGGAAACAAATAATTCCACCTCTCTTTCTGCATTTCAGAGGTCTATTTGGGGAGGAAATTAAATACATTTTATAACTTTCCTGAAATAAAACTTTTATATACATCAAGGGGAGATGTCAGTGTAATACCAATTATGTGCCATAGAAGCCACACTGAGCAGCCTAACAACTACAAAGAATTTGAAAGCCTAGTTTAAAATAATTAGATGCCAGGAAGCTCAAACAGAGAAGACTACACTTGGAAGTAGAAACTACACTTTGGAACTCTGACTAGACTTAGTCAATCATTCATTCATTCATTTGACAGACACTTATTACCTGAAGTGCATTCATTTTCAAATAACTACTATACCTATTATGCTTAAAGACAAATAAATAAAGCAGACATGGTTGGTTTATAAGTGCACCCTGTAATAAGTTCAATCAAAGGTGTACTGAGAGAAATACAGGAGAGGGCCTGATATGCTGGGCTGACCAGAGAAGCTCTGTCAGCGTGCATAGTACTCAAGCTCAGAACGAAAGCGAAGCCAGGCTGAAAAAAAAGCAATTGCAAAACCCTAAAATCATGAGGAAGCTTGGCATGACTGAGGACCAGTAGGCAGCCTTGTCCTTGCCCGTAGGAAGAGAGAGAGCTACAGCAAGTTGGTTAAATATTGACAGGTCTGGTGATATGTTGGATTTCAGTCCAAATACAAAAGAAAGCTTTAAAGGATTTTAAGCAGAGGCATGAATGAATGAGATTTATTTAAAGGCAAGAGGGCAAAGTTGCCGCTGCAACAGGCCAGGCAGGAAAGGCTGGTTGTGTGGCCAGTGCTGGTGGCAGGAGAGGAAAGACGTGGACACTCGGTGTGTATTTAAGGAGCAGAATGGGAAGAATTTGGGAGCAGGTTGGAAACTGGGAGTGAAACAATAGGAGAAATCAAGGAGACCAGAATTTGCTGCCCCCAAATATGAAAGATTATGGAGCTGTAGACAATTTAGAAGAAGCAGATAAATGAACGTTCTCGGTCCTCTCTTTATTTGCCTAAGACAGAACGTGGGTTTACAAGGACAGAAGGTTCCCTGCCTTCCCTGTGCAGCAGAGAGGACAAAGATTAACAATTGAGGACCAACCTAGACCCTCCTTGTGTAGAGATGGCACCAGAGGAATCGACATTAACAAGCTCTGCGAATTAGCCTTTATCTGCCATTTATTTGCCTTTACCTAAGAGGCCACCAGGAAAGACTCAAAGTCCTTTCTCATTGTCTCATCACTTCTCTGAACACATCCTGCTCTTTGTGGATGATCTTATTTAAACTGGATTCAAAGCCACCTCTTTGAGGGTTCCTCATTCCCTGGTTGTCTCCTTTGCATAGATTAAATACATATGTTAACAGATTCCTCGTTGGTTTTCTTTGTTTATCTGTCTTTTGTTGCAGGAGTCTGTTCCAATAAAGAATTTAAAAGGATTGAATAAACAATTATTTTTCTTTCCCTCCAAAGCCTTATCCGGCTTGAGCAAGAAGACAGGTAGCGACAGTGTGCCAGGCCTTAAGGTGACTCACCAGAGTCCTGAGCGTTGTCACCTGCCTTGGGCTGTACAAGCGGATGCACCACTTTAAGTTCACCAGGTGGTATGAATGATGGCTTGAGGTTAATTCTAACCATATCCTTCCCAGTGTGTCTGCTGGCTATCCAAATTGCCGTCTTTTTCCATGTTGAATAGAAGATACGGTCACCAAAAAGGGACATTGCAAAGAAACTGTGCCTAAAAAAAGATAGTAAATAAAAAGAAAACCCATAAAAGAATGGCAGACCATTTGTTCCTGGAATTATTAAAGTTTTACTTCATTTCCATTTATTGTAAAGTTTAATCACCTACCTATTTTTACTGAGTTTCATGTAGGTTTAGGAACATGTTTTGTAAATTTCTACTTCTGTCATCATTATCTAAACTAATGCAATATAGTTTCTAGCTCCAGATTATTTCTCACTCTTTTGTTAATCATCATGTAAGCATGATGAAAATGGGGGAGAAAACAGAAACAAGATAAGAGTAGATTTCTGGTTTTATCTATTTCACACTTGGCTAATTTCTACCTTTTTCATAAGTTAGTAAGTCAGTTACTGGCATGCCAGCAAGTCAAATGAGAGATAGGTGTTGTGCAAAATAAGATATACTAATTCCAAAAAGAACTATGACCAACATCTGGGAATTCATTATATGTCAGATATTTTTGCTATTATTACTTGCATTTATTTACTTAGTCTTTGCAGTAACTCCAAGAAACATGCACTATTATTATTCTCACCCTAACAAAAACTAAGGATAAGTTATGTTAACATTTCCAAAATCACTCACCTAATCATTGGTAAATCTGGAACTGAAATTCAAGTCTTTTGGATCACAAAATTCCATGTGCTACATGGCCACACCAGTGCAGTTGACAAAATTAATTTATCCCACATACCTCAAGTGACAACTGTTTCATTTTACACAGAAACTTAAACTTACTGTGCTGGATGTTTGATAAGCTGGATAGAACCTCCATCATAATCACAGGAACAAATATGAGAATTGCTTCCTTCTCTATTTTCCTGAATCCAAAAGAGACGTTTATCGAGCACATCCAGTGACATAGCTATTATTTTTGCTGATGTCATGAACAGGGTCTTCACTTCTACACCACTGAGATCTGCTCTGTGAAGGCTGCTGGCCACCTCTGAAGACCAAAATATAAATCTGAGGGAAGACACATCACACAGACCCAGAACCGAATGAATGGATAGTCATGGAAATGACAGACCCTTCCAATATCCCAGCAGCCCCAACTCCTGCACAGGAAGAGTTTGACTATTTTAATGAAAATTCAATTCAACAAGTATGTATTGGCTATTATGGAAATTCTACGTGATTTCCAGTGAGAAGAATTATGCTTCTATTGCAAAAGAAAAAATCATGGTTAGTTATCTGTTGTATAGGGAGCCTTCCTGAGGTCAAACGCAGGCAGTGGTCCCAATGAACATGATCTTTGTATACTCTAAAGGTCTTGGTCTCAGGGATATGGTCTCTTTGACTTTAAAATGTTATGTTTCTAGGAATCTTCATTAGATTTGAAATGTATTTCACTGTCTGAAAACAGCAGAATTTACCTTTCAACTGGATCAACTGCTATATTTGCAGGCTGTTTTAAGGTGCTTAAAAGAATGTGGGAATTGTTTCCTTTCATATCTGTTACTGTAATGATTCCTTCCTGTTGATTTGACCAAATAACTTCTTCATTTATCCAATTTATCGCCATTCCAGAAACATTTTTCTCTATATTGCACACTTTCTGTAAAATCAAATTTTGAAACTATTAATATTTCCTCATTTACAACAAAGTATTTCATTGTTGTGTAGAAAGAGTCTATTCTTTTTACATATAACATTTTCATATGTATTCCTAGAAGTACTTAAATGATAAATTAGTCATAGTCAGCAGTATTAACCCCCTGCTACCATCACCCTTATGATGATTCTGGCCATGGTATTCATGTCATAGCTCTGAACCTGAAAAGTTATCCTATACAGTATTAAAATTAGGCTGTCAAACATAATTACTACTTTCAACTCTAGTAACTGTAGGATTTTTATGCTGCCTTAAAATTAGTTTATTTGCTTTCACTTTGTATTGGAATCGTATGGATCTGCACGTGAACTCAATTCTAAGCTTTGCCAGCCTCTAGCAAGATTCCCTAGGAGTTTAAGCATAGAGCTATGCAGTGGGTGGATTTTTTGTTAAGGAGTTCATTTTTCTCTGGCTCCTCCTCTTCCATCAGGCCCCTTCCTTTCTAGAGCTCGGTGCCCTCACAATGACCAGAACAGCAGAACTCTCTTGTGTACTGGGGTTGCTCTACATTCCAAACAAAGCAATCCAACCCATCTATTTCAACAGTTGCTAATTATTTCTATATTTGTTCTCCCAGATAAATTGTTTACATTTTAACAGTTGCCATTTACAAACAATGTTTTAACTCAAAGGAGGGAATACAATGGTGGACTTTTAGGCATCAGGTCCATCTTTTCCAAATGACTTGACATAAATTCACAACTGTTTACAGTTTTCTTGTTCTGTGATCAGAAGCCCTCCGGATTCTCAGACTTAAGATTCTGAAACTACTCTACCAGTTGCTTGGGGAATAATGAGTAGCCATATTTAAAAGTGAGATTAGCAAGTATTAGAGATGTGATAAAACAGATTAACACCTAATTGAAACTTTTAAGAATAAATGGAGGGAGAAAGATCAGGTTAAAAAAAAAAACAGTAAGAACTTTGTGTCAGGGAGTAAATGCTTAAGGTTGCTCTAATCACATGCTGTCTGTAATCCAAAATAGAGGGAGAGCATTCCTCCTGGGGCTCATTTAAGAGTGCTGCCAGTTTAAAAGAAAGATTAAGGATCCTTTGTATATACTTAAAGTACAATACTTTATATCTGTCATCTTCTTCACTTTCTATTCCAAAGTACAAACACCTTGAGAATAAAAAGGAAAAAATTTTCTTCCTGAATGTCAGGTGGTTATTTTTTCCCTAAATGACAGAGACTTTTATACAGATAAGACAGGGTTTCTCAGCCTCAGTATGGAGACATGTTAGACTGGATCCTTCTTTATCATGGGGCTGTCCTACATAGTGTAGGGTGTTTAAAGCATCTGGGCCTTTACCCATTGCCTGTCCTCCTATCTCAGCCAGCTGTGACGATCAAAATGTCTCCAGACATTGCCAAATATGCTTCCATCCCTGAAGGGGGTGCAAAACACCCTCTAGTTGAAAACCCGTGAGGTAGAAAATACTCATGCAGATAATTTATTCATAACTAACCTAAGAAACTTAGATATTTTCAAAATTACATTAATGTCCTCATGTTCTCCTTTTGGGGGCTTATCATATCAGTTTGTGAATTTATTCAATAAGATGGCACCACAAAGGCAGATTAAACTCCTAATTTGGCAAATTCTCATTTAAAATGTAATGTATTTTCAATTATCTGTACATTAAGAATTCAATACATCATATTGACCAGCCTATACCTAAATCCCTCAAATACCACGGGTGATGGTAGTTTACCTCTTGCCTTGACCCATTCAGAAAAACTCGTTGCAGAAGTTTTGTTTCTAAATCTACCCAGTAGATTCTTTCCTCTTTGTAATGAAAATCCATGATCACTGAGACACCAGCATCCTCCACCAATTGCTCATGATTGGTTCCTTCCGGGTCAATCCTAAAGATGCTGTTTCCATGGGTGAAAATTAAGAAAGGTGCAGGACCTGAGCAGGAAGAAAGAAACCAAAGTGTAATATCTTTGATGACATTTTGTCCGATCTAGATGAAATACTTCACAATGACCACCAACACAGGCAAAATCAATATTTAATTCCTGGTTCTGTATTTTAGTAAAAATTATTGTATAGAGAGAGAATAAAGAGTTCTTGTAGATGTTCAGTTAATTTTGCAAAACATCTCCACAAATTGAGTGTAAGAAATGAGCGTTGCCAAATTATGAAAATGACCTACTTTAAGAAATATTTTTTCCTATGTTTAAAATGCTTTTCTGCATTTAAAAAAACAAACCATGTACTGTCTTTTATCATGGAAATGGTCTTCTTACTGAACTGCACCCAAAACAAATGCTATAGGATCTGATGTGTAGGAAAGCTGTTCATTTGAATGTCAAGTTTGTGTAAATTAGAAGTAAAATTACAGATATGATTTTGGGAATGGGTCCTTCTCTAGCGTTACCTTACAACAAGAGCCATCTGCTTGGTGACATAGGACATGGTGGGAACTAGAGGATCTAAGTGGAAGCAGGAGAAATGGAAATACCATCCTCTTAAATTGGGAAATACTTGACCTGCTTATTAACATTACCATAACAATAACAACAAATTTTCACATCATGATTACATTTGTCCTCAATACAATACCTCAATACAATAACTAGACAAGCCAAATACTAAAGTCAGTAAATCAAAATGAAATCTGAAGAATACTTAGATCCATGTAACTCAAATTATAGTGTTAACTCCTGTAACTTTTCAAAATGCAAATACAGAATAATTACAAAAACGCTAAGTATGAGCAAATAATATATTTTACCTTCAGGTTTTACCTTCCAAGAATGAATCAGAACATCCAGGACTGATCTTGGCATCTAGTTAAGGAGAGGAATTGTAAAGATGTTTCCCACAGCCCCACCAGTAGTTGATGGCAGAATTGGAATTAGAAGCTGGATGCTGCCCCTCAATCCAGTACTCTCTCCAATTCTTTCCCAAGGTGTGGATTTGAATGTCATCAGAGTGTGAGTGTTTAAACAGTCAACAGCTTTCCTACACCTCAGATCCTATAACATTTGTTTTGGGTGCAGTTCAGTAAGAAGGAAGCACGGGGGCTGGGGATTTAGCTCAGTGGCAAAAGCACCTGCCTGGCAAGCGCAAGGTCGTGAGTTCGGTTCCCGGTACCGGAGAAAAACCACAAAAAAAATTAAAAAATAAAAAAAAAAGAAGGAAGCACGAAGAAAGTCAAATATCATTTCTGAAGAACACAAACCCAAAGACAGCACACAGGTCATAGCAAATCAATCGGTACCTCTGACTTCTCAACCTAGGGATTAGAGGGGATCTTCTAGAGTGTTTGGAGCATATTAAAACCTTTCATTAATGACCAGGAAGACCTGAGGCCTCTCTGGCAAAGGTGGTAAGTTACAAAATGATTGAAGTGAGCAACAGAAACAGAACATTTTCCAAACAGCAACTCTCTGTCCTCTCAGCCTGTGGGACCGGCCCACACAGGTGAGTGAGTAGAGCCATTGACTAATGTGGGCTTGGGGCAAAGGATCATGGGAGCTGGGGGGCACATTCATGATACGAAGAGGTGGACAAGAAACTTCGTCTTCTCTCAAGCCACACCACCACCTGCCCACACCATCACAGGTTCCTTACTAACTGTTAGAAAAAAACAAAGTCTCACAGGACAAAGAGGGTGAAAAGGGTCTGTAAAGATTCTGTGACACCATAAGAAAAGAGATTAGTTATAAAGAAATGGACCAGGACTGGCTGTAAGAAAGCCTGCCACCTCCTCCCACAGTGACCAGCTCCCTAGGGAAGTTAGACACAGATAGTGGTCACTACCATGCCCAGGGCACTGAGCTGAATGTTATCTCAGGTTTTATGAAGTGCAGAGAGTTTTATTTCACGCTGAGTGACCATCTCATTCTCTTTTTTATGATTACAATTCTTAAAAGGATACCACTTTATTCTGGGCAGGCAATCACTGCTCTCCTCTCAGCTTACTTATCACTATCAAATTTCAAGGGAGGGGTGAGAGAAAGGCAGGTGACTCAGAAATGATACACCCAGAATATAAATAATTTAAAGAGTAAAATAAAAGAGAGATGTAGGAAATAGGGAGGTACACTTTGTGAGATGGAAAGTGATCTGGGAATGGGTAGAGAGGCGAGTGGAATGAAAAGGATCAGGATGCGATATCCATATGCACCAATTCCCCAGGATGAATATAATTATTATGTATTACAAACATTTACCATAAATAAGGAGAAAGAACACACCCCAAAAAGGAGAACCGAGAGAATTGCATTTAAGTTTTAACTCTAAAGAACACTCTGCAGCTTGATTTTGCTTCCTGAAAAATGTGAATGGAGATTGCCATGCTGGACCCTGTAGGGACAAAAAGGGTCACACACAGTAGCAAATAACCCCGGCCCACCCCAACCACGTCCACCTGCAGGCTGCAGAGGTTTACTCCCAGGTCCTCCAGAGAGTAACTGAGCCAAATAGGTTCTGCACAATTCAACTTTTTTCAATAAGAATTCTCAAGAGTCTTTAATGTTCTACTAATATATTTTAATGCTTTAAGAAGGAGGGTGGTGAATTCCATCAGAATAGTAATAGTGTATTCTCTCAGGTGTAGTGGGTGGAATGCATTATTTCATTGAGTTGAATGACACTAGGAAGCAAATGCGCTCATCATCTCTGTTTTACAAGAGAAAAAACTGAAGTTTAGAGCAGTTACCTTGCCCCAAGTCACTGGGTCAATAGAGCTGAGTAGGGACATAAAGCAAGGTCTTTCTCATCACAGATTCTGAGTGCCAGGATTTACTGCTGACTCCGAAGAGAATGCATGAGGAACTCTTGGAGTTTAGTGTGCTGTAGTTTGATCTTGTCAGTAACCTTAGTAAATGTGGTCTTAAATACCACAACTTAAGGTGTTTTCGGATTCTGGGTACCCCGTTTCAGATTTCTCACTTGTCCTAATAGCTTCATAGTAGCACCATCTACTAACATTTCAAGGCACTTTTTTTTTTGTTTTTGTCCTGGGAATTGAACTTAGGACCTCGTGCTTGCCAGGCAGATGATTGGGCTGCTGAGCTATACCCCTGGCCCTAAAGGCACATTTTGCCCTTTCTATGATGTTCGTCACTAATGACAGCAAGGGTAAATTCATTCTTCAGGGTATCTTCTTGTTAATTTCTTTTTTTTCCCCTCATCTTTTGTCAGATCTAAAGAGATCAATACTGCTTTCGCTTCTGTGTAGCCAACCAAGAGCTCCTCTGAGGACAGAGGATGCTGTCGGGCTGCCCTGCCCTCAGTATTCTCTTGGGCTTGCGATGTCAGTGTTGTCTACAATCTTTAGTTTCTTCATAGAAAAGTTTAAGGCACTTTGTTGAATTTTATAAACAGTTCAAATAATAAATCAACTGCAGCCCAGTCCCCCATCCTGCTCCCTGCACAGTGGGAGCCCCATATTCCAACAGAGGCCCAGTGCACACATAAATATGTGATGTCACCACTATTGGTATTGTTGAATAAATACCTACTGACATAATTGCGATTAACCCATCCGTGTAATTCACAGAAAAGGAAATCTTAGTCCTATTTTCAAAGTAGGACTTTCAAAGTGCTTTCAGCATAGAGCACCAGCTATAACAAGTCTGCCAAAAAAATGTCCACACACTTCAGGGAAAGAAAAAATAATATGATGTTTTTTCCACAGATGGTGTTACCCTTCTGGGGGGACCTGAGAGGATGTTGTATATCACAGAAAGCCCACTACACTGCCGGCGCTTAGAGAAGAAATTGAAAATGCATGTGCAGAAATCTCAATGACCGAGGTTTCCTAAGCAGCATTTCACCTTTACTAATAAATGTCTGGAAGCTGATGGTCACCACTTTGAGCCCCTCTTGCAATTACAGAGGCTAAAGGAAATGTATGAGTTTCATGATATCTCAATAAACTTAGTATTAAAATATTTATACAAGTTTTTCTTTCCCTGAAGTGTGCATACACTTTTTTTTGGCAGATTCTGTATGTGTTTTTGAGGCAGGGACTGGCCTTGAGTTCACCATGTAGCCCAGGATGGCCTTGAACTCATAGCAGTCCTCAGCCTCCCAAGTGCTGGGATTACAAGTGTGTACCACCATGACAGGCTTGAGAGTCAGATATATTAATAAACTTTCCTTACACCAATTTTAAATGATTAATTTTTAGTAGGGAAAACCAACAGAGCATTATATTGGTTACTTTCAACAATACCTCTGAAGAGGGGCCTGTGCCTTGTGATTTTGCAGAATGAGTCCCGAGCTGGGGGTTATAGAGACACTGATGAGGGACTTCCTGTGTATGAGCTCTGCCTCTCATCTATGGCTCCAAGTGATTGGGCCAGATGACCTTGAAGGGCCTTTCTAATATAGCACTTATCAATTCCATTTCTATCCCACCAGCATTCAATAGTTTCCATGTTTGTGGCATTTTTGTAAAGAGGCCTAAGCTGTGGTCAATTTCTAAATAAATATTATTCATCTTAACCTCTATTTTCTGTGAAATGTTGCCTTTTCTCTGCCTTTCTAAACTTCAAATACCAAATCAATAATGTGTCCCCATGAGCTCTTTTAAAGAAAATAAAACAACACCCTAAAACAAACCATTTCCCCCAAGTGACATTACACAGTCTACACCCTGAAGGAAATCTAAAAATGAATCAATTGATTAACTCTCTAAAAAATTTATTGGCGGCACAAGATTTGATGTGAGTCTTATTTGTAAATAACACAATTACTTTGTCCTTTGCTGCCTTTAAATAATATTCATCAAATTGCAAGGCTACACATATAAATATTCACCTAAATAGTTGGAATGTTCCTAGACAAATAGACTAAAGAAAATTATGAAGTGTTGAAGTCTATGTTTCTCAGCTCCAGTTTCACAGTTCTCATCAGTCCCACTCTGGTCAATGCTAATTTCTGGCTCGAGG